GCAAGATCTGTGGCTCAATACAACAAACCACTCCATGGGAGAATGATTAGACTACCTGCTCTCTTAAAGATCTACAGCCTTGGAAACCCTGTCAGTCAGAAGCAACTCAATGGCAATGACTCTGGTTCTTGGTTTGGTTTTCATTATTAAAACATTTGTAAAATTGTTTAAAACGTTTAAAACTGCTTTTAGACTTATGATTATGCATGTGAAGATTCTACTGTGGTTCAAAGCTGGTATTTCAACAAAGTCCTAAAACCTGTTGCTTTACTGCAAGCATCTGGTACAGTACCTTGTCCATAAGAGATGCTCAAATGTCTGCTGGCTTGAATTACTAGGGGATCTATACCATGAACTGCCACTGAGGAATCTGAGAACATAAACTTAACATGCTGGAATCTCTCTCTTTCCAATCAAGTTTGCCAGGTAAGTGCTTAAGCTGTGTTCTATATTCTACAATATGTAAATTATTCTATAGTGTCCACAATATTTGAGTACTGTTCTGTCAGAAAGGTACCATATATACTCGAGTATAAGCCAACCTGAATATCAGCCGAGACACCTAATTTTACCACAAAAACTGCATTAAAAATGTACTGAAAAACTCAGCTTATACTCAAGTATATATGATAGTTCATCTCATATCAGTTTTTCATGTGCTGTATTAAGACCACTAGTACTTTTCTGAGACCACTAGCAAGTGTTATTCTCAATCTCCTACTTCATTTCCACTAGAATGGTGGGTCCGTTTGGGTGGAATTGTTTTATCTCCAGCATATACACAATGTTGCGTTGTCTCAATTCAGTAAGTGGGAAAAAAGAGGTGTTCCATAAATGCCAAAGTTACCAATTAACTACCATATTGCTAAATTAAATGGTTAATTCTCAGTCCTCATTTTAATTGTAATATTTGACAGTATTAAGCAATCCTTCATTTGGAGTCAAGATCAAGACCCACCCAGTTTTCTTCCTTCCTCCCTGGATGCTCCTACCAATTCTCTCTTAGTGTTCCCTCCTTATCTCCATATTCTCTAAACTCTAGACTTCTCCAGAATTAAGTTCTTTAACCTGCTCTCATTTCAATCTCTACTCTCTTGGTTATTTCATTTAGTATTATGGCTTCAATCTATATGTTAACAACATTCAAATGTATACCTTCCAGTGAGTCCTGTTCTTTCCCTCTATCAGTATTCCTCATTTCAATAAATGACTTCATCCTTTCAAGAACTCAGAGCAAAAACTTTAGCACTGCCTTCACCTCCTGTGTTTTGTCACAGCACACATCTTTTCTATCAGCAAAATTTGTTGACTTTACTTCAAAAATATATCCAGAATCAAAACATGCCTTTTACCATTTTCACTGCTATTCCCAACCGGCGCAAAGTTAAATTTCTTAATATGGCTCTTCTATCCATGTCTCTGTGACACCCACCCGATGATTGGACTATGCAAATAGGGCATGTGAAACACTAATAGAAGAGACTGATCAGTTTAGTTGTCATTCAATTTGCCATAAGAGGGCTATCTCAGAAGCAGGAACAGAGAGAATTCCTGGGACCATCAAGGAAGAAGAGCTACTAGCAGAGTACACTCAAGATCCCTCCCTGCTTAAAGTAGCAGAGGCTACTTTAAGTAGCTTTTACTTATTAAGTAGAAGCCACCTTATTCCAAGACCACAGGCCAAGGCAAGGAGACCAAGAGATACAGTCGAGGAACAATGCTGACACTGTGAGGCACAGTAGCAAGTGGACTTCCTGACCCAAGGAGGCAGATGTCAAGGGATCATCATGTGTTTGAGAGGCTGAGGATTAGAAAGAGACTTAGCTGATAGCTGAGTAGAGGCACTGTTGTGGACAAAAGCCTGTATCTTTAATGTTTTCTGATCCTGGTTTATCATAATCTACTAATTTCCCTAATAAACCCTCATAATTGTTAAGTACTATCTGTGAATTGTGTGTGTCCATTGCAGTGGATTATCAAACCCAGTGGAGAGGAAGAGTGCTGTGGGAGGAATGGCTTGTATCAGAATACGAGGAAAAAGGATGCAGGGTGCAGGCATGTCTGACCTTTGCATTCCATTAGTAGGCCTTGGGCTGATGAGGAATTGGATTCTCCTTCCTTGTGCAGCCAGAGATCAGATGTGGCCTCCACACTGCTTACTCACCAACTGTGATTACCTCCAGCTATTGAACTCACTATCGAACTCAATTCATTCCAAATTCATGTTCGAACACCGAAGTTCAAGAACTGAACTTATCTTTCCCATAAGAAATAATGGGACTTTAAATCACTATCGAGGTTTTCTCACATATCACTCTCGGATACACTATCACCATTAAGTTGTTTCTGATTTATCAGATTTAACAGTAAATTTTCAACTCCTTCAATGGTCTGGGTTCTTTGTTATGTGGCTAACAGTTTCACACCTTTCGTAACATTAGCCACTTTATCACGGTTTGTTTGTTTTTCAATGTTGAAAATGTCCACATAGCTATGTTGTCTTCAGCCACCAATCAGATAAGCAGCGACCTGATTCAAATTTCGCAATTTCTTTCTGGTGGTTATCACAGTTTTCCTCTTAGCTTTACTGCTGGTATCACTAACTTTCTTTGTAGCCATGGTTATGATATTTTATGCAAATAAAGTGGGGGGAAAGGCACAATGACGAATAATTTAATGCATAACAGAAACATCTTATGTTGACTGAGCCACAGCAGTGCTAGACTGAAGCATCACCTCCCTGCATCGGCAGCAAGAGGAGACCAGTGACTCACTCTCTTTGCCAGTACAGGTTTCCTCAAGTCAGATTTTCAGTTCAACTATGGGGCAAACTTACAAACACCAAAAAAATGGTATATTTTTTAAACTTTGCTGTTTAAGCTGTGCTAAGTTTGATCTTAGAACTGGTCGACACACGAATTCTACCTTGCAAGTCTGGCTAGACCAGAGGATGTACACTGGTACAGATGGGAGCTGGAAATCCAGGAAATCCAGGGCGGATGAGCCCTACGGGACCAGTGGTGTGAGTGGCGATACTGGGAGGGTAGAGGGAGAGTGGGTAGGAAAGAGGGAACCGATTATAAGGAACTATATGTGACCTCCTCCCTGGGGGACGGACAGCTGGGAAGTGGGTGAGGGGAGATGTCGGACAGGGCAAGATATGACAAAATAACAATTTATAAATTATCAAGGGCTCATGAGGGGGGGGGTGCAGGGAGGGAGGGAAAAATGAGGACCTAATGCCGGGGGCTTAAGTGGAGAGGAAGTGTTTTGAGAATGATGAGGGCAATGAATGTACAAATGTGCTTTATACAATTGATGTATGTATGGATTGTGATGAGTTGTGTGTGTCTCTTATAATGTTTTTAAAAAAAAAAAAAAAAGAACTGGTCAGCAACATGGTGTCACTGTAATCCAAAATATCATCTTCTCTCACGTAGATTATTAACAGTTTTCTAACTGGTCTTCCTCTGTTTGCTCTTGCCCAATAACAGCAAAATATAAATCAAATTCACTTCACTGCCCAAAACCCTTTAAAGATATCCCATCTCACTCAGAATAAAAACTAACATCCTACAAAAGTCCAGCAGTAGCAACATCATTTCTGTGTTTTTTAGAAATGAGCCCCGCCCCTGACTTATAAATTTCTAATATAGATTTTAACAAGTTCTCTAAAGGTAATTCACATACACATTAAATTTTAAAAAGCACTTCCATACGGCATCACAAGATATGCACCCACTCTTATCATTCATCAAACATGGTAAGTTCTGTCTCAAGGCCTCTGTACCTGCCATTCTCTATGCCTGGAATACTCTTCCATGTATTTGCCCACCTCAACGGTCTCACCTCTTTTAAGGCTTCTCTCAAATGTCACTGTCTCTGAAAGATCATCTCTGATCACCCAATTCAATCCTATCTGCAGTAGCCTCATTCCTCACTTCTCTGCTTTATTTTTCTTTTAGAAATTGTCACCAACTAATGAATTTATTACCTATTTTAAACTGGCTGATACCTAGCCCACAATACCACCAGCCCACCACATAAGTATGGAGGATTTAAAATATTCTGATTCATGGTGGTACTGTCCCATCAAAAAATAATTCACACAAACTTTATCATCTAACCCTCAAGAATCCTATGAGGCAGGTAAATAAAGCAAGTAACAATACATTCATTTAAGAAATGACAAAAGGGGAGGGAGGGGGAAAATGAGCAACAGATATTAAGGGCTAAAGTAGAAGGCAAATGATGAGAGCAACTAATGTACATATGTGCTTGACACAATGGATGGATGTATGGATTGTGATAAGAACTGTACAAACCCCCAATAAAATAATTTTTTTTAAATGAGAAAAGATACACTAAAAGTCTCTCAACTCCCAAACTCGCTGTCACCGACTCAACTCTGACTCAAAGCAACCGTGTAGGACTGAGCAGAACTGTTCCTGTGGGTTTCTAAGACAGTAAATTTTTACAGCAGTAGAATACCTCATTTTTCTCCCACAAGTGGCTGGTAGTTTCAAACTGCTGACCTTGTAGTTAGCAGCCCACCTGGAGGCTGGGCCATCAAGGTTCCCCTTTAAGTCTCACAGCATAGTATTAGTAATGTCCAAACTGGAACTGAAGTCTCAAGAACCTTAGTTCAAAATTCTGTTACTTCACATTTCCTCTTATAGCTAATATTGAACCGCACTATAAAATCATATACAGCTATATATTTTGCTAAAGGGTCTAAAACATCCATTGTTCACACTATATAAGACTAACCAAATGTTCAATAACATTCTGAAAGAATGTAATAAAAACTGTTACATTGCATCGGAAGAACATTTTTGCTGAGGTAAGGCAATTGCTAGGAAACGAGAGAATGGGAAAATAAGGAAGATGGAATAAATGAATTAATTAAAATTGAGCTCTATGGAGGAAGAATAAATGTATCATTTCATATTGCTCAGAGCACCTAAGTGATACAATTTTGTAGAAGAAAAATGACATACCTCCTCAAGATCCCAGCAACAGATTTCCTTTCTTTGCATAGATGAGGATGAATAGTTGTAATCCAAAATGTTTCCCAAAAAAGTTCTTTTTAAAAAAGACATAGAAATAGAAGATCCATATGAAAAGAAATCCAATCTGGATGGGTGGACACTGTCTTCTAAATCTTGTGATTAAGAGCAGCTGTTCATCAAATGTCAACATCTGCAGAAAGTGTGAACCATGGATACGTCTTCTTGAGAAGATAATATCTGCTGGGACAGAGGAGCGAGAGGAGAAAAACTACTGAGTACAAATGACTGCTTGACAATTACCAGTTCTAAGGCTGCTAAATTTTCAAGTTGGCATTAGTGAACACTGAAAGATTAAATGAAGTACCTAAGTCCATATGGTACTGTGAGGCTTATCGATAAGAGCACAACCAATGGTACACTTCAGCAGATAATCTAGTTCTCTGATTAACAACAAGTTGCTATGTGTTAAAGAAAACTTAAAACTCTACTTCTTGGGTTTTTTTTTAATAAAAGATAACAGCTATATCAAACTACCAAACAAACATATACACAGACTACATGAAGTTGACATACAGATCAAGCATTCTGGTGCCTTATAAAAGAAACAACAGCACCACCAAGACTCCACTGCCTGTATTTTTTAACAAGGCTGTGTGTGACTTGTGATTTTTCTGTTTCGGTTATTGCTCTACTTTATCCCAATTTCTAAAAATTGGGTCTACTCTGGTTTCAGGTCCTCGGCCATGACTGAACAATGAAGAACTGTTTGTAGCCGCAGAAGAAAATTACAACTACACTAATACACATCAAAGTCAAATTCCTTAAAGCAAAACTCTTAGAAGTATCCAGAGGGGAAAAAACAAGCATATACAGAGATATAAAAATAAGAATGGTGTCAGATTTCTTGTTGAAAACCATGCAAACCAGAAGACAGTTGGCAACATGTATAAAGTTAAAACATTTGTCAATTTAAAATTCTATGCCCACTGAAAATAGTGGGGTTTTCAAAAATCATATCATTGTGAATGAGGGGGGAGTGCGGAGTGGGGACTCAAAGCCCATCTGTAGGCAACTGTACATCCCCTACGGAAGGGTGGCGGGGAGATGAGCAAGTCAGGTGCAGTGTGGCAACGATGAAACAGACAACTTTCCTCTACTTCCTAAATGCTTCCTCCCCGGCCACTATCATGATCCCAATTCTACCTTACAAATCCGGCTAGAACAGAGGATGTACACTGGTACAGATAGGAGCTGGAAACACAGGGAATCCAGGATGGATGATCCCTTCAGGACCATGCAGAGAGTGGCAATACTGGGAGGGTGGAGTGGAAATGGGGAACCGATTACAGGGAATCTACATATAACCTCCTCCCTGGGGGACAGACAACAGAAAAGTGGGTAATGGGAGACGTCGGACAGTGTAAGATATGGCAAAATAATAATTTATAAATTATCAAGGGTTCATGAGGGTGGGAGGTGCCGGAGGGAGGGGAGTAAAATGAGGAGCTGATGCCAGGGGCTTAAGTGGAGAGCAAATGTGCTGAGAATGACAAGGGTAACAAATGTATAAATGTGCTTTATACAATTGATGTATGTACGGATTGTGATAAGAATTGTATGAGCCCCCATAAAATGATTATTTTTTAAAAATAGTGATTTTTAAAGGCAAATTAAAGGCTTTTCGCATAAACAAAAGCAAAAAGAATCCACCACCAACAGACCTGCACTACAAGAAGTAGAAGAAGTTCTCCCAAAAGGAGGAAAATTATGTCAGATAGAAATCTGGAATTACACAAAAGAATAAGAAGCACACACAAAAAAATTGTTTTTAAAGAAGCAGTCAAGGGTGGACATAGAACATACAAAATTTGACAAAGGCTTTTTAATTAGAAAGCAGATTAAAATCTGCATGATTAAAATAGAGCCCTAGCAAGGATTTTCATATTACACATATGAAGGAGCTTCAAAAAGTTCACAGAAAATAGAGTAAGAGATAATGAAACTTTTCCACACATTTTTTGAAGCCCCCAAATGTCTCCATCTTTCAAAAAAAAAACAAACTCAAAGGACCCTGACTACGAAAACTCAACATCATCACATTCCTCTAAATCAGTGGTTCTCAACCTTCCTAAAGCTGCGGCCCTTTAATACAGCTCCTCATGTTGTGGTGACCACCCCCAACCATAAAAATATTTTTGTTGCTACTTCATAATCATAACTTTGCTACTTTTATGAATCAGGCGACCCCTGTGAAAGGGTCACCCCCAAGGGGTCTCGACCCACAAGTTGAGAACCGCTGCTCTAAATTGAAGACCTGCTTTTAACTCTTTAAAAAAAAAGGTCCCTAGATGTTATCCAATCACAGAGAGTACACCTTTTGGAAAATTAAAATCTTCTTAGTTCCCATCCCAGTGTTCGTATTTCAAACTGGTTTTCAAAGCCTTTTGAAGGACGTGCCTACAGTGAAGTTTCTTTCTTTCTTTCTTTCTTTTTTTTTTTTTTATGCAGTGAAGTTTCTTAAGATAAAGTGTGACCACAGCCAATATATAATTTATCTATTTTCACGCTGTCTCCAGGGAACTCCAAAACCATTTGGTAATAAGCTACAGAGACAGCTCCTTGTATTCTGAATAACATCACGTTTCAATGATCTTGTGCTCCAAACTGGCAAAAGAAGAAATTTTTCGCTAAGTCGTCCTGAGCAAAGTACAATTTGACAAAACAAAAGGCAACAAAGCAATAGCTGCACATAAAAATTCAGGATCAGGTGTTAAAATGAGGGGGAGAGAAACATCAATATTTGAGGTCACTTTATTATAGCCCGAACCTCAAGAGAAATGTGGTTTATAAGAATAAAGCCTCTATAATATCACTGAAGCTGGTAATTCACAGTATGGAAATCCTTCCTACTATTGTAGTAAATACAGAATTTTATGTACTCAGATATTCCCTGGGACCACTAAGATTTCATAATCTATTCATGGTGAGAGATAATTTGCAAATCTAAGACAACTAACTAAATGATTGTTGTTAGGTCCCACATAGTAGTTCCAATTCATAGTGACCTGGTTTACAATAGAACCAAAACACCACCTGGTTCTGCGCCATCCTCACAACTGTTTTATGTTCAAAATCACTGTGGCAAGCACGGTGCTAATCCACTTTGTGAGGGGTCTTCCTCTTCCTCCCGGTCCTTCTACATCACCAAGCATGATGTCCTTTCTCCAAGCACTGGTTTCTCCTGACATGGCCACAGTATAGGAGACAAAGTCTTGCAATCCTTGCCTCTACAGAACATTCCGGCTGTACTTCTTCCTAGAAAGATTTGGTTTTTTTAGCAGCTCGTGGTAGTTTCAATATTCTTCGCCAGCACCATAATTCAAATGCATCAATTCCTCTTCAGTCTTCATCAATGCCCTATTTCCACATGCATATGAGGCAACTGAAAATAGCATGGCTGGGTAAATGCACCTCAGTCCTCAAAGTAACATCCTTGCTTTACATTTTAAAGAGGTCTTGTACAGATTTGCCTTATGAAATGCATCATTTGCCCTCTTGACTGCTGCTTCCATGAACATTGATTGTGGATCCAAGCAAAATGAAATCCTTGACAACTTCAAACTTTTCTCCATTTATCTTGATGTTACCCTATTTATTAGTCCAGTTGTGAGGATTCGGGTCTTCTTTACATTGAATTGTAATCCATACTGAAGGCTGCAATAATTGATCTTCATCACCAAGTGCTTCAAGTCCTCCTTACTTTCAGCAAGCGAGGGTGTGCCCTCTGCATATTACAGGTTAATAAGCCTTCCTCTAATCCTGATGCTGAATTCTTCTTCATACAAGTAACCTTCTCTGATTATTTGTTCAACTACATGGTACACAACAAAACTCAGGATGTTCTTCTGATAGAATTCTAGAGGAAAACTATCTATTATTACCATCTGGACCTAAAATTCTTTACTCTGTAATGACAACTAGCCATTTCTGTGATTTCAATGAATACCAAGAGAAATCATGAGAATGTAGCATTTTCTCAGTATTTTACCCCAGACCAAGATATGGCAATATCCATCTAATTAGGAGCTCCAGTGGCATAGTTACAAGTTGGGCTGGTTCCCAAAAGGTCAGCAGTTCAAAACCACCAGCTGCTCTTTGGGTGAAAGACATGACTTTCTAATCCCATAAAGAGTTAACAGTCTTAGAAACCCACAGGGGCAGTTCTACTCTGTCTTATAGGGTCACTATGAGGTGGCATTGACTTGATGGCAGTGAGTTTTTGGTTTTTCCTCTTAACAATAAAACTTTTAATCAATCAAAAGAAAACAAACAATATATATATATATACATACATATATATACATATATATATTCAAACAGAAAACTTCTACAATATTGAAAAAATAGCCTAATGATTAAAACTCAAATGTCCTTCAACTGATGAATGGATTGGCAAAATGTTGTATATCCATTATCCTATTCTATTCCCAATGAATCCATTCTGACACAGGGCAGAGTAGAACTGTTCCATAGGATTTCCAAGACTATAAATCTTTAAGGAAGCAGACTGCCTCATCTTTCTCCTGAGGAGCAGGTTGAGGACGAATGGGTTCCAAACCTCTTGGTTAGCAATCTAACACCTAACTCACTGTACCACTGGGAGACACACACACACACACACACACACTCGCTCAAATGTGCCCTGCACTGTGAAATATTATTTAGCCATCAAAAAGAAAAAAGGAGTAAGGTACTGATACACATTACCAAATAGATGACTCTTGAAAACATTATGTTAAGAGGCTAAATATACACACACAAAACACCTTGTATGATTCTATTCATATGACAAAGACAGAAAGCAAATAGCTAGTTGCCAAGGACTCATGAAAAGGGAAGCGGATGATTTAAAAAAAAAGAAAGAAAGAAAGAAAGAAAAGGGAAGAGGGAGTGGCTCCTCATTGAGTAATAGGTCTCTTTTTGAGGTAATGGAAATGTTCTGAAACTAGATTGTGCTGATGATTGTACAACATTGTGAATACACCAAAGGTCACTAGATTCTATATTTTAAATGTAGTTTATGCTTTAAAAATAAATTTTGTCAAATAGTAGTTATCTAGTATTTGTATGTCCCACTACTTAACAAAATGTTATGTGCACTAATAATTGATCAAAAATACTTTCCCAAATGCAATATAGTCATGTTACATTATAGAAAAGGCAACAGCATA